GTTTATGTAATTTTTCAACTTTTTACAAAACTTAGTGCCCCGAGTAGCTCTCGACGAGGCCAATCGATTGACACTAGTTTTGTTGTCGGTAAGGCAACGAGACTCCTGTCGCTACACGGTTTTTCCCACCCCGGGGCAGTGATGGGACCCCGGGGTCCCGCCAATTGCTTCAATTCTCGCCGTGCACGCGGGTTCACAACGTCCAAAACAAAGTTTCAAAAGGGAACTGGTCAAGTGTCCCAAACCGGAAGGCTGCAAGTAATTTCCACATAAGCCACCTCGTAGAGCTATAACTTGTGGACAGACGCTAACAGCTGTGGGCTTTAGCTGGTAAATAAAAAAAACAATGCTTTCAGTACATTTCTTACCTTTCCTATACCTTGAACTTCTATCGTGTTATTTGTATTGTTTGTTGGAACGTTGTGACCCGCCCCCGCTGACATCTGTGAAAGAGAGCTTTCTAGCTCATCCCTGCAGTCTAAATATTTCTGATTCTGCAAGAAATGTTGAAAAACCATTCAGACGCATGGGTTACGTAACGCTGTCCAACATGCGTTTGTTTTTGGAAGTACTTAATTTTAATTCGAAATATGGACACCGTAGGATAGCGCTTTTTGCTCTGGTTTGTCTCTAAGTTTTTGGGAAAGCATTTTATCAATTTAAACCGTTTCAATAGGGCCATTGCCTAATAGCAACGCAACTTTATACGAAAGTTTCTGTTCAAATTGGATCAAGTTTAGGAGAGTTATAGTGCCTCCACCTCCTCCATCGCTTTGGACGCAGAGGCGGACGGAAATAACGAATAGTGCACATCCTGAAGAATCGGTGACGCTTCCCTGAGTAAAATGTCAACTGCGAAACAACACGTTCTTGGTGTATATATTTCTGCCTTCGCTTCATTGTCCCAGCTCTGACATAGTAACCAGCCAATAACTACAGAATGCTGCACACTCACCGACACTGGTGACAGTTGCTAGAGAGGCAACCTATTGACGCCAAATTAGGAAAGAGTCTCGTGATCTCTTCCGAGGTCATTCCCCAACCACCACATGTGCGCGATCTGGCAGGCTGCGACTGTAGTAATATCCAAACCGCTCGTAGAGGAAGCTGACACAAATCCAAAGGAAATATGCAGGTCCTAGCGAGATCGCTAAGCTTATGGGGGCGTGGCGGCAATTACTAGGGATTGCCTTCATTCTCGCTGCACCAGCCAATCATCGGCCAGGCAAAAACCCCCATGCAATATGGCCACCATGAATTCACCCATGCAACATGGCCGGTATGACATTATAGCTCTGTTAGGTTCAGCTCGTCTATGGCCAATGTAAGCATTTTATGTGGATATTCGTTGTTAAATGTAATCAATATACATTGTTATTAATTATGCGATGTTATTAGTTAGTGTTTTATTGTATTACTTTGACAATTAACGTGCATGGTGGTCCTGACCACCCCCAAGTTCTCTCCGAAATTTACGACAATTCACTGTCTTAACACCCTTATGGAACTAGCGTTAACAAGTCCTAACTTCCGCTATTTTTTGAATTGCGTAATTCTGTACTCAAGCCCCAAATAAAATTGCCACTGGTCTGTACCTTAACAGCACCAACTAAATTGTACTATAAATAATCAAACTAAAAACATGTAACAGTGTGTGGCAGAAGAACATATCGATATTTTTTTCTTGAAATTATATAAAAAATATAAATACAACAATCACAAGCATGTAAGACCGCATTATATACACATTTGACAATTGCAAATTATTGCAATATGTATTAAACAGGAAGACATTAAATAATACAGTAGTTTTTTTTCTTCCACTGAGCTGTGATTGGGCAGGTTCAGTCAATGACGATGCCGCTTCACTGGCCACCGAAGACGGACGCAGCTACTATTCACTACTGGATGGATCGGTGGAACACCACACCACCACTTGTGCAAGTGTGAGCACACGATAATGGGCCATCGGTAACCCTCAGAAAACGAAATATTCGGCAGCCGTTCCTAGATGTTCACTTACAGGTATCGCTCGATTTTACGAACGTTCGGTTTACTAAATTTCAGGTTCACGCAATTGGCAGATTATGGACACTTTTCGATGAACAAAATCAAATCTTCGCGTGAACGATTCACAACGGCCACGCGCCACGAGATCATCATCCATCCGCCACAGCATCACGGCGTCCCTGCGGTGCCACAGGAACGCTTCCACATCGCCTTGCCAGGCGTTCCAACATGCAGCAGATTTTTTGGCGAGCTCCCTGAAAAGGTTAATTGTGTTTAAAATGTACGTTATTCAATCGTCTTAATATTTGTTTGCATGTTCACATTTAGTATTTGGCGGCAATTGTTCTCGGGGCGTTAGCGTTAGCGCCCCGAGAACAATTAAGGGCGCTTCATAAATTTTTATTATTAAATGTCCACATGATATGCCACTTCGTTGAGTTATCATGTGTCCAGGCCTCTTCTGAAAAACAGCTATATAGATCAGTGGGCCTTACCTAGTTTAATAAAATTAGTTTAGTTGAAATATGCTGTCTCAAAAGTCCCCTTTACAACAATACAAATCTTGATTTGAAGATTTTGTGACTGTAGGAATCCATACTCGTTGTTTCTTTCGGTAAAGTCACGTAGACGGAATTTTCTATCAATCTCAACAGAATCTATGATGCTTAAGCAACCAATGCAAGGTATAATTTTTGTGACCGCAGATAATTTTCAAATATGGCGTACAGTTCTGCATTTGGACCTGGACGCTGACGCGCAGTAACGTGTCGCTTAGACGCTCATTTGGCGGCGAGCGGCACGCTCTCTCGTGATCTTCCACGCGGGCATCTCTGCGACACAAGCGAGGACATCCCCGCTCGACTCGCGCAATCTCACAATAAAACATCCCAACCCACACATTGTTGGTTTAACACGTAGGCTTTCACGACCAATATAATCCGTAATATGGGTTTTTTGGGTTAGATCGCGTGAATATATAAACGTCGTTAAACCCGCCACCACTCGACACAGCCAATTAGTAAGGTTTGTCACGTGAAAATAAAATGCCAATTCGTTACTAGTACAGCACACCGGTGTGCTGGAGAGAAAATCCACAACATCTACAATCTGGTGGCGGGTTTCACGGCAACACATCTGAGTACCAGATTGTAAATGTTGTGGATTTGCTCTCCACTAGTAACGAATCGGCACGTTCTGTTTACGTGTCAAACCTTGCTAATTGGCCGTGTCGGGTGATGGCGGGTTTAACGGCAACACATTTATAATTACGCAATCTAATCCAAGTAACCTATATTATCCACCCTTTGTTTTGGCAGCATGGCAGAACTCGGCAATGAGAAGCTGTGTTTTCCATCTCTAAGTTCTGCTCGTGACCAACACCGGTAATGATCATCGAAATCGGTCTTGGGCCTCCCCTAGGTCGACTCAGCCTCACATGAGTACCTAGTCTGATGTGTAAACATCGCCACTAGGGAGACAAAGGTGGCCGGGCATGGTGCTGGCCACCCACTCCTTCATGTGCCATGGTGGCCATCGTAGGTGCTCGCGAGTAACATTTGCCTTAACAGCCTGTTAAGGCTATACGGCGGAGCTTTGTCTGTGTGTGACCACATTTGTGTAACTTTATTGACACCGGGCACAAGTTTGGGGTGGCACCTTTCTCTCCAGAGCATCTTATAATCCAGAGAACATAACATTTTAGAATACTTTCAAGCGACACCAGGGAAAAATGTCACGTAATCGTACACTTGATCACGCGAGCAACTGTTAAAGCTGCAAGCTAGCAAGGAACCCATAAGCAATGGCAACGGGACAACACGTTTTTTTCTGGTGTAATGCGATCGCTTGCCGAGGCTGGCCGATGCGAGACTACCTGCGATGAATCAAAAACATCCGAGCTCACCATCAAGGTTTGTAACACTGTAAGACCTGCATTTAAACGCAGCACCCAAAACACTCCAACACTGAAAGACAAACCCCGTTCAACCCTTACAGCCCCCTTGTAACGATGGTAATTGGCAAGCGAAGTGTTGTTTCCAATCTTAATCGGCGAGGCAGCGTGCGTGCAAACGGTACAAGGCGGACGTAGCCGGGAACGTTTGTGAATTTTTTTTTCTTTTTCCCGCAGCCCCCCCCCACCCACGCATTGTGGCGAGCGGGTGAATGGCAGCCTGAGCAGCAGTGCCCAAGAGAGGGGGTCGTGGCACACGACAATAGCGCAATTGCACTCTCGTCGGGCAAGAGGTAAACCATTTGCCATGCCTGGTTATGTGCCAGCACGCCGGACGAGCACGGCACACTCCCGACATTTCCCTAGGACGGGCCTTGGTATCCGTTTCTTCGCTTGAGAGGTTGCAAGGTCACGCAATCAAGTAGACGGCATTGGCGGCAGCGGCGGACGTCGATCACGGTGACGGGCTCGTAGTCGCCATCCCACAGGGGTTCCCCCCCTTCTCTTCTGGCGCCGCGTCAAGCCGGCGGAGACCCCGGGAGGGCGACCAAGCTGACGGGGTCAACGTCGAAGAGGCATTGTGACCTCTTCGGTGGCATCCTGACAAGGACCGCGGTGGAGAGAGGCTACAACGTCAAAGGTGGCGACCTCACGAGGATGGCGAACTCGCCGCAGTGACACCGGGCCGATCACCGTGGCGAGATGTTATTTCCCTGGCCTGGTATGTCGGAGGTCGTAGGTCGTAGGTTCAATCCCGACCCTGACGTCTGCACAAAAGGAGTTTGCATGTTTCTCTCCCCGTGGTCGTGTTGATTTTTCACTGGATCCTCTGGTTTAGAGTATTTGGTTGCTTTAAATATACACACGATAAGCCACTTCATTGAGCTATCATTGGTCGCTTCTGAAAAAGAGCTATGTAGCTCAGTGGGCCTTACCTGGTTTAAACAAAACAAAAAAGGTCACAGTGAAGGGGCGGCTCCGTCTTCAAGCCGAGATGCTGGCTTCCCATGCCCCCCCGCACCCCCCCACCCCTGTCCCTACCCCCATATCGCGCTCAACCGTCAATGTCCGGCTGCGCAAGCCGCTGCCGCCGAGCCAGGATGCGCTTGCAGCGGGGGCAGTCCTCCCGGGCGGCCGCGAAACAGCACTTGTGGTAGCAGGCACGGCAGCCTGGCGGAGACACAGCACAGCGTCCCATCCCACTGTCACCCACACCACCTGCACAGACTGGGGAGCCGGAGACTGTGGGCTGGTGACGCCAGAGATTGTGGTCTGGTGGAGCCAGAGATTGTGATCTGGTGGAGCCAGAGACTGTGGGGGCTGGTGGAGCCAGAGACTGTGGGCTAGTGGAGCCAGAGATTGTGGCCTAGTGGAGCCAGAGATGGTGGCCTGGTGGAGCCAGAGATTGTGATCTGGTGGAGCCAGAGACTGTGGGCTAGTGGAGCCAGAAACTGTGGGCTGGTGGAGCCAGAGATTGTGGTCTGGTGGAGCCAGAGATTGTGGTCTGGTGGAGCCAGAGACTGTGGGCTAGTGGAGCCAGAGATTGTGGCCTGGTGGAGCCAGAGACTGTGGGCTAGTGGAGCCAGAGACTGTGGGCTAGTGGAGCCAGAGATTGTGGGCTCGTGGAGCCAGAGACTGTGGGCTAGTGGAGCCAGAGATTGTGGGCTAGTGGAGCCAGAGATTGTGGCCTAGTGGAGCCAGAGATGGTGGCCTGGTGGAGCCAGAGATTGTGATCTGGTGGAGCCAGAGACTGTGGGCTAGTGGAGCCAGAAACTGTGGGCTGGTGGAGCCAGAGATTGTGGTCTGGTGGAGCCAGAGATTGTGGTCTGGTGGAGCCAGAGACTGTGGGCTAGTGGAGCCAGAGATTGTGGCCTGGTGGAGCCAGAGACTGTGGGCTAGTGGAGCCAGAGACTGTGGGCTAGTGGAGCCAGAGATTGTGGGCTCGTGGAGCCAGAGACTGTGGGCTAGTGGAGCCAGAGATTGTGGGCTAGTGGAGCCAGAGATTGTGGGCTAGTGGAGCCAGAGACAGTGGGCTAGTGGAGCCAGAGACTGCGGGCTGGTGGAGCCAGAGATTGTGGGCTAGTGGAGCCAGAGACTGTGGGCTAGTGGAGCCAGAGATTGTGGGCTAGTGGAGCCAGAGACTTTGGGCTGGTGGAGCCAGAGACTGTGGGCTAGTGGAGCCAGAGATTGTGGGCTAGTGGAGCCAGAGACTGTGGGCTGGTGGAGCCAGAGATTGTGGGCTAGTGGAGCCAGAGACTGTGGGCTAGTGGAGCCAGAGATTGTGGTCTGGTGGAGCCAGAGACTGTGGGCTAGTGGAGCCAGAGATTGTGGGCTAGTGGAGCCAGAGACTGTGGGCTAGTGGAGCCAGAGACTGTGGGCTAGTGGAGCCAGAGATTGTGGGCTAGTGGAGCCAGAGACTGTGGGCTAGTGGAGCCAGAGACTGTGGGCTAGTGGAGCCAGAGACTGTGTTCCGTGCAGATGAAGGGAGTGTTCCGTAGTAGTGATCAGCACCAAACACACACTTACCCGGACACTGCTGGCAGCGTGTCAGCTCAAACGGGAACAGGATATCCTCTTCCTTCTGGCAGAACTCGCAGATGAAGCCTCTGGCCTGGCAGAGCTGCACGGTGGGCAAGGGTACGGGGGTGGATATGGGTAGCGGAGCCTCAGATTTGTCAGGTGCGCACGGTCTGCACGACGCTCCCCTTCGCGATGGTGATGCGGCGCAGCGCCGGTGCGGATCGCTCACGATTACAAGCTATGAAATCTTTTATTTTAGCAGTTAAGGCCCACTGAGCTATTTAGCTTTTTTTCAGAATCGACCGGGCCACAAATGACAGCACATCACGTGGAAATTTATAGCAGCCAAATACTCTGAACGCACGTCGATTCTAAATGTGGAGGGAAAACCCGGAGGACCCGGAGATAAATCCACGTGACCACGGGCAGAGACATGCAAAATCCAAATATACAGGCATCATTAGGGTCGGGATCAAACCCACGACATCCTGTATACCAGACGAGATAGATAAGATCTCGCCAACGTGGCACCGCAGAGGCAACTCTGTGGAACCGGACTGGACGACTCAGTGCTAAGCACCGGGAGTTTCAGCTGCCCAGGCTGCATAGCCCCCGCACCTCTGATTAGCACAGTTGGCTAAGTACGGTGCAAAAGAAGTTCAACATACATACAGTAGATCATCCATAATCCAGCACGCGATTATCCGGCTTCCAACATTATCCGGTGGTCCCAGGCCAACCTGGCGAACCTCCATCACAGCTGATGGGAGTTGGATTCAGACTCTGAATAACCACCTCCAATTCTACACCCCCCTCTATCATCATTCCATTGGGGCAGTCTTCGAGATTGGAGTGATAAGTACAGTACAGTGAATACAGTAACTTTTTATAGCAGGATATTTATTATTGTATGTTAATTTATTTCATAGAGTTAATTACATTTAAATACTAAATATATATACAAAATACTTTAAAACGTGTTTTCAAGAATGTGCAAACATAAGCTATTTTAAATAATGATGATGTAGTGATTATCCGGCGTTTTTTAAAATCCGGCGCTCCATTCCTCCCTAAGCCGCCGGATACTGCATGATCTCCTGTATTTACCTGGCAGGCGCGCACGTGCTGCGTGGTCTGGGTGACCACCTGGCGCAAGGTGGGGGCCAGCTCGCCACGTCTGACTGCCAGCAAGTCCTCCAGGGAGTAGAGGTCCACCTCCTCCGTCAGGTGTCCTGGCACGGTGGAGCTCAGAGTCTCCAGAATGCTGCAACCCAAAGACAAAGACCCCGCTTGTAGGCTTCACAGACTCTTGGGGCAAGTGCCGTTAGCAAGTAGCACCTATGAAGGCCAGCATGGCACACGAGGGGGTGGGTGGCCAGCATCACCCCGACCACCTTTGTCTCCACACCACGGAATCATTTAAGGCTGAGTCGACCTAGGGGAAACCCAGGACCGGTTCAGATATTCGTCAATGGTGCTGGAAGTGAGCAGGAATTGAAATAGGGTCGCTGGGTTCGTATTGCAGCACGCTAACCGCTACACTACCACTCCCACACACACTCATTCTTTTATGATTGTTCTATTTTTAAGAAGCGGCAACATTCATGCAAATTGTATCTCAAAATGCAACGCACGCAGTTTTCGTACGGAGGAGCGGGAAATGACACCTCCGATTAGCACGGTTGGCTACGTACGGTGCGAAAGAAGGAAGGCGGTCGGCCAGAACCGGCGGCAACTATTGCCCAAGCTCTGTGGTCCTATGATGATGGGATGCTTGACCAACTTGATTACAGCTAGGAATTGCGGTAGAATTATTGGAATGGAATACGATTCTTTTATGGGAATCACCGGTATCTTCATGGCATAAAAGATTTTTACAAGGAGGAAGAACATCTCAGCAGCTGACCACGAACAATAATGGGACCTTTTGGCTGGGAATAAGAAGAGACTGTGTGCCACTCAACGGCAGCACCTTGTGATTTTGTTTACACACAAACACAGAAGCACACAAAACACCTCTGCGATGGAAGCCCAAGGCAGCTCTCACGTGTCATGCCAGCCATCGCAGGTGCTCACTAACAGCACAAAAGGCTAAACAGGTGTTTTTTTGTGATTCAGGATGAGTTTGTTTTGGGTGAGATCAGGGGATTGGCAACCAAAGTAAACAAGAGCCATTTTTTTCAAATTCGGATTTTTTGTTGTTGTAATAATTTGTAAATATGTGACGGTCTTTAATAAATAACGTCACGAACTAGTTCTCAAAAAGCCGCATGCGGCTCTGGAGCCGCAGATTGCCAACCCTAGGTTAGATCATGTAAATCGAAAAACTAATTTCTTTAGAACTGCTTTTTGGGTTTATTTTGTTGTCTTTCCCCCGCACCTCCGATTAGCACAGTTGCCTATGTATGGTGCGAAAGAAGCTCAACATACGTACATACAATAATGTTAATTGTATAACTATAGCCCTCCACCACCTGAAAATAGAACCAATTAAATAAATTTATCACATCGAGGGGCAAACACGCCGATGGATTTGGTTTATCCACAAACTGGAGTAAAAAGTAAAAAAATCGGGCAAACGTTTGGGCAGTTTAGTACTAAGTTTTGCTCGCAATTACATCGGGCATCGTCAGGTGTTAAGAGAAACGCAGCTCTCATCGCGTCAGCAGTTAATGCGTGACAATGCTGAGCGTCATCTGCAGCGGAACATTGTAGAGTACAACAAAACTGCCCAAAGTTTAGTTGGCCTGCTCAACTTTCCTCCTCTTATTCTTTGGTTCTTTCGGTAAAGTCACGTAGGCATACAATAAAATAAATCACGACGTTTCGATTGCAACACAAGCCATCATCATCAGGTGGGAAAACCACAGCAAAAAAATGTTTTGCTGAAGTGGATTTTCCTCCTCTTCCTCTGGTTTGCTGATGAACCAAACAAATCGGCGTGTTTGCCCATGACGTGAAAACTTGAGTTGATTGGCTGTCAGGTGGTGGGTTATAGTTAAAATATGTGGACTAAATTATACCTACACGGTGATCTAACCCAAAATAAACTAATTATGAATATTCTTGGTTCATTCGGTAAAGTCACGTAGAAGGGAAACAATAAAATAATAAAAATATAAAACAATACAATTATCACGACATTTCGACTGCAACACAAGCAATCATCATCAGGTGTGAAAACCACAGCAAGAAAATTTTAAAAAGTGGCGTTTTTTTTTCTTCTAATTTTCTTGCTGTGGTTTTCACACCTGATGATGATTGCTCGTGTTGCAGTCGAAACGTCGTGAGAATTTTATTGTTTTATATTTTTATTATTTTATTGTTTCCCTTTTACGTGACTTTACCAATAGAACCAAGAATATGAATCCCTGCAGTCACGAAAGCTTTAAATAAAAATTTAATAATGAATATTACTGGGCGTGAAAGCCTGTGTGTAATGTTGGGCGAGTTTGCGTCTTTGTGTACGTGAGTGAGAGAGAACCGATAACATTAATCCATTGATGCAACAACACTACAAACGTCACTCTTTCAATGGTCTAATCCTCTTATTTTAAAATTTGGAGAGAGGATAAATATTTTTGAGATAGCGATCTACCAAAGCACGCGTGAATGTCGTTTGAAACGACAACTAAATCGAGCATTCAGGCACTCGCCTCTCTGCAAGCCGGCACGTCTGAAGGAGGTGCTTGAGGTGGACCAGCTGCTTCCTCAGCTCCTGTAAAACAAACGGGGCAGGCACGCGCTCGTAAGATCTCATCGCTGCACACGCACGGTCCACCCAGGCTGCTGTCTGCACTCCAAACTGCTTAAGCGTCAATCGGTTACTCTTTAAGCTATTAAATGACTAAAGCTAGGCAGCTTTTATTTTATTTTACCAGGTAAGGCCCACTGTGCTGCGTCGCTCTTTTTCAGAATCGACCTGGCCATCAGAAATGATCGCTCAACAGAGTGGCTATGTGGAAATTTCTAGCAGGCGAATACTCTAAACGCATGTTGATTTTAAATGTAGAGGGAAAAACCAGAGGACCCGGAGAAAAATCCACACGGCCACATGGAAAACATGCAAACATACAGGCATCGGGGTCGGATTCGAACCTACCACCTCCTGTAAACCAGGTGACGTTAACAATTCGCCACCATCGCGCCAAAGAGTCAACTCTGTGGAACCGGACTGGGCGACTTGGTGCTGAGCACCGGGAGTTTGAGTCGCTCAGGCTGCATCGCAGAGCACGGCCTCTCAATTTTTCTCACAATCGCACGCAGAGTCTTCTCTCAGAGCCGCGTTCTTCACTGCAAGACCCGCGGGGCACTAGCGCCCCCTGGTGGCCTTTAGTGCGGCTGCTGACGTGCGGCCGCCGACAATACACAAACACGTGAAAACACCCATCATGCTGTCAAACCCTAATGGTTTCAAATGTGTGGTGGGGTCCTCACGCTGATGTCTTATTGGTAAAAGTGGCCCCCCTCTGAAAATTAGTGAAGAACACTGGCTCAGACAGAAGTTTGTAAATCTCACTCCACAGGGGACCAGGAAGAGCGCGCGTAACCCTACCCTGTTTCAACATCCCACCCCTGCTAGCGCTTAGCTCTCACCACTTATGTGCAAATTAAATAATCCCATTCACTTCTAAACTAGCAGGGCGGTGCATGGGCGGCCATAGGATGAGAGGGCAGGCAATAGAAGGGCAGGAGAGGCCAGGGCAGGGATGAGAAGTGAAGGACAGGGCAAGGCAGGGGCAGGCAAGAAAGAGCAGGGAAGGGAAAGTCAGGGCAAGGGAGAGCAAGGCTGGGCTTGGCAGAGTATAAGACAGCAGGACAGGGTATGGGAGGGAAGGGCAGGGGAGGCCCGGGCAGGACTGGCGTGGGGACGCATACCTGCACGACGGTGAGGGCCTTAACCCTGCGGTAGAGCTGGGGGTTGATGTCCAGGAGGTTGTAGAGGGGGTCGTGGCCGATGCGCGCGAGCAGCTCCCGGGCGAAGTTGCTCACGGGGTAGCGCGACGCGTCCCAGCGGCGCAGCAGCCGCCCGGGCACCACGGCCACGGAGCCCGACTGGCAGCACTGGCAGAAGAGCTTCCCCAGGTACTCGCAGTAACGCAGTCGCTTTATATAACCTGGGGGAGGTGGGGGAAGTGGGGGTGGGTGGGAGGGAGGCATGAAGGTTTGTGAGGTCAGGGTTTCCCAAACAGGTCATTGGCCATCCTCATGAAGCTGCTCTTGAGAATGTTCCTGTATGTTTGTATGTATGTAGAACTTCTTACGCACCGTACGTAGCCAACCGTGATAATCGGAGGTGCGGTGGAAGGAGAACTAAACACAAAAAGCGGTTCTAAAGAAGAGTTCTTAATCTAGTACATTGCTCGAGTTGCTTCCTAATTTCGTAAGGAAGAGCGTTCCAGACGGCCACAGGAGTGCATCTGAAAGCGTGCGATCCAGGGACCGTCTTTGTTCCATGGCTAGTCAACTGGCGCTGCTGCGAGGATGACTGGAGTTCATGTGATGGCTTATGCTCCTTGACGATATCAGCGAAGTAGTATGGTTCATTTGTGGCAAGCACTTTGTGTAACTGTGATGAGTGTGACCTAATAATGTATTCGCTCGGCATCCAAAAGCCAATGCAGTTCGGCGAGCACTGGAAGGACTTGGTCAGATCTTGTAGTATCCATCACGACACGTGCCAGACAATTTTGTACAAGCTGCAGCTTGGTAATGTCTTTGCCAGACGTCCCGTAGAGTATTGAGTTGCAATAATCGAGCCTTGGCGATGGCAGCAGCAACAGCAGCAGCAACAGCAGCAGCAAGAGCAGCGCCCACTCACTTGGATCCACCTTGGTCCCGCACCCCGCACACCTGCTGTTCTGCTTGGCCAGGATCACCTTCTTCCTGTGGCACACAAGAGATCCGTTTGTGAGCCAATGCTTACTCACGAATGCCTTCGGGCGCTTCCCATAGACATTAAATGAATTAAGCCACCGGCATATACATGCAATTGTATCTCGCTGATCTCGTCCAGGAACATAAACCGTCACACAAACTCTTAGTCATCCGCTGGCGGAAGGGCAGTTTGCCACCAGCATTCGGTGGAACGAGGACCAACCGGGGCTTACTTGGTGCTGGGGTGGATGTCGAATATGATCTGCGCGCGTGGTGGCGCCCACTCCAGGTTGCCGCGCACTCGAATTCGGAGCTTGTAGACGTCCGAGTGCTCCCCATCGTCCGGGCAAACCGGTACGGAGCCCGGCATGGGCAGCAGCTGTGGTGAACGCACATAACAGACTAAACTAAAAAAAAACGTTTTATTTCACCGGGTAAGGCACACTAAGCTATATAGCTCTTTTTTCAGAATCGGCTTGGCTATCACAAGTGATATTTACGTTGAACTTCTTACGCACCATACGTAGCCAACCGAGCTAATCGGAGGTGCGGTGGAAGGAGAACAAACTAAACATAAAAAGCGGTTCTAAAGAAGAGTTCTTAATCTCGTGCATTGCTCTAGTGGTTTTCTAATTTCGTAAGGTAGAGCGTTCCAGACAGCCACAGGAGTGCATCTGAAAGTGATAGCTCAACGAAGTAGCTAATCATGCGGAAATGTAAAACAGCCAAATACTCTAAATGCACGTTGTTTCTAAATGTGGAGGGAAAAACCGGGAGGACCCAGAGAAAAATCCACACGACCACGGGGCGAGAGACACACAAACTCCAAATATACAGGCGTCAGGGTCGAGATTGAACCCACAACCTCCTGTATACCAGGTGCCACCACGGCGAAATGTTAACACACCAACACACCCGTCATTCACCACAAGCGATAAATGTGCAGCAGACAAGGAACTTTTCAGCAGGAAAAAAAGGGCCCATCCTGAATGCCATCAAAAAGAGGAAACTGCGATGGTTGTGGGCCGGGTCACGAGGTGGAGCAGCCTCTCAAAAGAAGAGTACTTCAGGAAGCAGTGAAAGGAAAACTGAAGAGCGGAAGACAAAAGAGGACTCGGTTCGAAAACGCCAAGCGGCGGTCGGGAGCACTGTCCGACCTGCTGCTCCACAAGACCCAAGGCATGCGGCACGCCTCTCCATGGATGTGGACGGCCGAGAGTCATCCTGAAGGGCACCCAGATGATCAAATCGGTCGTGGGAATCTCAGTAGTAATAGATGGAGACGTCAACACGGCGCCTGCGTCGTAACCAACTGTCGCCCACACGGCAGTCACCTGCTGTGTTTTCTCAGCTGCCTGTGCTCTGCAACACTTTTATGCCTTACTGGTAAGGCACGAAAGTTCCCCATGCCCAGGGTTCTAAAGCTCGTGCCCAGTCCCAGACCCCCCCAGAGTCCCATGCCAAGTCCCAGAGTCCCATGCCCAGAGTCCCAGGGTCCCAGTGTGCAGTGTCCAGAGTCCAGTTCCCAGAATCCAGTGTCCCAGAGTCCAAAAGTCCCGTGCCCAGAGTCCCAGAGTTCCAGGGCCCCAGAGTCCCAAAGTGCTGGGCCACAATGCTGTGCCGACCTTCTGTGGCGCGTCCTCCTCGGTGACGAGCCAGTCGAGCTCCGAGGCAGCAGGGAGCTGCATGCCCTGGAATCGCCGCAGCAGCCCCATGGCCACAGCCTCAGCGGAGTTGGCACAGCAGCTGGGGGGCCCACTCAGGGACATCCTGCACACGCGGGCACAAATACAAAGATCCCCCGTACAGCATTAACAGACTGAAGGGGCAAGTGTTGTTAGCGAGCACGTATGAAGGCCGGAACGGCTCACCAGGGGGTGGGTGGCCAACGCCAGGCCCGGCCACCTTTGTCTCCCTAGTGGCAACGTTTACACGTTGCACCAGGTACTCATTTGAGGCTTAGTCGACCTAGGGGAGGCCCAGGAAAGGTTCATATAATCGTTACTGGTGTTGGCGTGAGCGGGAATCGCACTCGGGTCGCCGGGTTCATAGCAAAGCACGCTCACCGCTGCATCACCGCGCACACACAGGCACACACACACACACGAGTGCACACTTGCGCTCAACGCCTGCGGGCTGTGGATGATTTAAAAGTGCATTGGGACGTGAGCCAACGCTCAAATAGATACATGCCATGCATGTAAATGGTGTGTTCAAAAATGTGCGAAATTTATACTCATTTAAATAATCACCATCATCTTCTTTGGTTCTTTCGGTAAAGTCACGTAGAATGAGAATTGTGGCCGAAACGTCGTGAGAATTTTATTGTGTTATTTTATTTATCAATTTATTATTTTATTCTCATTCTACGTGACTTTACCGAAGGAACCAAAGAAGATGAATCCTTGCAGTCACGAAAGCTTTAAATCGGAAAGTCACCATCATCATCACCAGCAGCTGCAGCAGCCAGGGTCAACCCACTCGTGGAAGAAGGCCTTCCCCCAAGCCACGACCAACAATAGGCTTGTAGATATAGTCCAATGACAAAGTGCAACGGTTCCATTTGTTTTACGCGCAATCTTCTACGCACAGAAATAATGATGACAATGGCAAGTATTTACTCAGGAATGCCTCGCCGAGTTTCAAGACTCTTTTTCAGGAGGGTTCCAGCATTTGAGTTTGGCCAATTCCATTCATGATCGTTTGTTTGGGTCGTAGGAGCAAATCAGAGTGCCCAAAAAATCCCACACGGAGGAGGTGGCACACAACACTCGTGTATATTTCACAGCCCCATGCCTACAGCAATTGACAAATCCCCCCGCGGTCAACTTTCCAAGGATTAACCAGACTCAAGACCGCTCAGCTTCCCAAGATCCAAGAACAATTATTTTAACTTAGTGCCCTTGTTGGGTTAGAAGCACCCCTGCATACACCACGATGGGGTGGGGCTATGCGGGACTAGCAACTAGAATCCCGACATTAACCCGGGAGACGGCGGTCGCAGGCAACACTCACAGTGACTCAGAGCTCTGCAGCGACGAAGTGAGGCTGCCCAAGGGACTGCTCGCCTCCCGCACACTCCCTGCGGAGAAGATTAAACCACAGCGGGCGTTACAAAATCAGAATACCGGAGGAATCCGATGAGCTTTAATGCTCTTTTTCACAGATTTCCAGTCGGGGCACGGGGTCAGAACATTACAATGACGAACAATACAAAAACACGATAGTAGTGCAAAGTATTGGAAAGGTAAACAAGTTAATTTAAATATATACACAAATAAAACTAAACTATTTAGTATATTGTCTCACACTGGTACGACAAGGCCAATCAGTTTCCAAGACAATGCATATATTATCAGAGCATATTTGTTTGCATGTTTTGCCAAAAGTATGCGTGGTTAATACAGACCTTTTCATGCCTCGCAATAGGTACCTATTTGGCGTTTGAACATCTTAACACCTCCTGTTTTTAGTGCCAGAAAGGGTTTAAGCCTATTCTTTTTTCGTCATTTTTGATACTGGCAAAAAGTCCACCGGGCCCCCAGTGATGACATCACCTTGACTCCCCTATTTCAGACCAAAACAGGAGGAGGAATTTTTCGCCTGATGAGGCTGGTTGTTGTAATCACCAGTGAAACGTCGTGAACTCGAATTGTAAACGTTGTGAGTTTACTCTCCAACACCCATCGGTGTGCTGTACTAGTAACTAATTCGCACGGGTTGTTTACGTGACAAACCTTACTAATCGGCTGTGTCGCGGGTGGTGGCGGGTTTAACAACACGTTCATATTTACATGATCCAACCCGAAAAAAAAACCCCTTTATTGTGGATATTGGTCGCGAAAGCCCTACTACTAAGTGTTAAACCGACTGCCAAAAAGATCCCATGGATGTAAGGAGCAATGCGACGCTGCGGTCCCTCACCTGCCATCTCTGTGTCGCAGTTTTTCCAGCTCTGGCAGCTGGAGAGGCAAGATTCCGTGGACACGAAGAGCTCCGAACTTTCCGAGGGGCTGCTGGCTGCCGGCAGGGCGGCTGGCACGCGACACACCGGGTTCAAAAGTTTAAAGTTTTGTTGCTTTTTAAGCAGGTGAGGAACTCATGAGACCAAGTGAGAAGAGTCTCGTTTGCAAGAGCGAAGTGACCTGGGGTCACCAAAGTGGAAAAAGGAAAACTGACAGAAAAAAAGTAGAGCGTTGATGCAAATAGAAATAAAAACAGAAACAACGGTACCGCAACGAGGAATCGGGAGATGTTTCGAGGTGAACTCACGACACTACTTGTGTGGATATTGAGGCTATTAACCATTTCCTGTTCCGAGACATCTGCAAGTTGCAGGGCGAGTGGTGTCCCGTTCACCGCTCAATCTCGGAACGCGCAAGCGGCTAAGCGTTAATTTTATTTAGAGATGCGTAGCGCCTTTGTTTTTAAAGACGTTGTACTCGCCGCAGAGAACCGTAGCGACATGAACGCACGCTACGATTGCTGGCGCCAAACTTTTCCACACGCCCTCCTGCATGGCCTTGTGGGAGCCTTGTCCCGAAACGTCGTGAGAATTTTATTGTCTTATTTTATTTTATTATTTTATTCTCATTCTACGCGACTTTACCGAAAGAACCAAAGAAGACCGATGAATGTATTTTATTTTTTCTTACGATACCGTTCCGATAACGTACACGTGTTCGTCATCGAAATGCGAAAGGCTTAAGCCATTGAGTAGCCTCCGTGGGGGCTTGGTGGATGTTGGCGACACTGCCCGCGAACCGTCGGTGCAGGGGACGTGGGGGATGATGGGGTCACGAGCGCCGAGGGGGTCACGAGCGCCGAGGGGGTCACGAGCGCCGAGGCGGCCCCTCACCCTCGAGTGGTTCGGTGGCGTCCACCGCTCCGGCCTCCTCCACCCTCAGCTCCGCGCCGGCCGCGTTGCACTCCGCCCAGCCGTCGCTCTCGTCCAGGCACTCGGGCCCTGACGCGGCCCCCACCGCCGCCGTCTCCGCAGTCTCCGCCTCGTTCGCCGCCAACGCCGCCACCTCCAGCTCCCAGCCGCGGTCGCCCAGCAGGTTGCACTTCATGAGCTCAATGGCGGCGATGAGCGACTCGGAGATGCTGAAGTGCGCGTTCTCCTGCAGCGGGGAGAGACGCAGGGACGTGGGGATGCCATCAACGCCCCCGCCTCGCCGCCACAGACCACGCGTCACGTGATCCCACGCTGCCCCCATCACCGATTCACAGACCAAGGGTCGCACGATCTAAAACTGGCCCCTGGTCCGCCAATTCGCGGGCAACATCACCGACATCCAACCAAGCCTTCAACAGAGGCGATCGAATGGCTTAATAACCTCATAATGTTGCAAACTTCAGCTTGCTATACAGGGTGAATATATGCAGGGTAAAAGGTGGTAAGGTAATATAAAGAAACCATCCATTCCGCCATGCAAATTGGCCCAGTACTGCTGGTGTATTCACCCTGACCTTGCGTGTGAAGTGGTCCAACTGCCAAGCCGGTTCGTGGCTGGGAGAGTTCTTGAGTTTTTACATTCAGATCGGCACCTAATTATTTGTGGTGTGTTTTCAAAAAGCGGGCCGACAGCCCCGATGCGGCCACACGCATCCGTTGCAAGGGCCGCGTGCAGGCGAGGCCCTGTTGCGCACACACAGTGACGATGCCCGCGCCAGAATACCTTCTCCAGATCGGCGCACATCGCAAAGTCCTGCTCCGAGAGGTAGCTGAGGAGCGACTGTCCCTCCGACGGCCGGCGAAGCTGCAGGCCTTCCCCCAACATCCTGCTCCAGCCGTATGCCCCATCTGCTGCGACAATCAAATCGTATAAATGCTCATAAATTGACCGAAAATGCCTTGATATATAGGGGATTGTAAAGCTCGGGCAATTGTTGCTTCCCGGCTTTATCAGGTGATTTACCACAATTGTGGCCAGGTGGCGGGTTAATGACACGTTTATATTTACGCGATCTAAGCCAAAAAAAAACCTTTATAATGAAAAGTTGGATGGAGTGGCCAGGTGAGGGAGCAGGCGAGTGAGCGGGTGGGAGCGGGCGGGACTATGCACCACCTGCAGGCCTTGGGGCGGTGTCGGAGCGCAGCGCCTGGCTGCACGCCTCCCTGCTGGAGGAGAACGCTCCGTCTGCAGCGAGGCAGGTGGAGCGGCACACGTGAGACAAGGGCCACACTTCGCACCTCCGATTAGCACGATTGGCTACGTAAGGTGTGGAAGAAGTTAAACATAAACGCATGCAGCTTGGGTTTCCTGTGAGTCGGGTATGAGGGTTTGTACAAATGTGTGCAACTGTATGATGCACAAATCGACAATCTCATGATATTTCGCACTTGTATGGAGCAGGCCCTTCAAAATCCCCATGCAATCATTCCTATTGATACCGGATCCATATCTGCATCCAGATCTAGATTGCATAGATCGGGCAACATCTGACTCTGATCGCCAGCTATGGTAAATCCATCCCATTTCCTAAATACAAGTAAAGATGTAAAGCTAGCTAACACTCTGGGGACCAATGTTCTTCAGCATGTACGTGGTCCTGCTGTAAATCATTATTAATACTATAATAAAATAGTGGAATATGTGCTTTGATTTCAGTGGAAATAAACGAGTGGTTATTATGTTGAAATGAGCATACAGGTATCAATATTTTTCGATTTAAAGCTTTCGTGACTGCAATGATTCATCTTCTTTGGTTCTTTCGGTAAAGTCACGTAGAATGAGAATAAAATAATAAATTGATAAAATAAAATAACACAATAATATTCTCACGACGTTTCGGCCACAACACAAGCGGCCTTCATCAGGTGAAGGGGGCGAGACTGTCTGGTAGGACAGCGCTGGAGTGAGAGAGCCACGTTCAGATCACGGCTTTTAAGCTGTGTGAGAGGAACAAAGAGCCTTGACACAGGAATTAGCATAAAATTTAGCATTGAAATGGCTGAATGATTAGCTTGTGACTGGTCACAGAAATAGCTATGTTAAAAGTTAAAGCATACACATCCGCAGAGGCACCCATTGTTAAAAGGAATTAGCATAGAATTTAGCATTGAAATAGCTAAGTTAAGGCATACACATCCGCAGAGGCACCCCTTGACAATGGGATTAGCATAGAATTTAGCATTGAAATGGCTGAGTGATTCGCTTGTAACTGCTACAGAAATAGCTACGTTGAAGTCAGAGCATACACATTCACCGAGGCACTTAGTACAAATCAAACAGGAGAATTTAGCATTGAAATAACTAGGCGAATTTAGCATTGAAATAACTGGGTGATTTGCTAGTGACTGGTCACAGAAATGACTACACATCTGAGCTATTCACAGTACTATATAGTGAACCAATAAAAACTAAAATATAAATTACCTTCATGTTATCAATAAACTCTATATTCTCCAATCAGCTAAGCTACCAACCATAAGTCGTTATATATCACAATGCTATATGGCGAAAAAATGGGTGGATTCTTACCCTCAAATTTCCGTACCACGGATAGCTATGGGCCCCGTTCAGACGGACGAGTTCGTCCATGGTCGGAACAGAGGAGGGGGAGAGAGACAGCTGCGAGGCCCTAGTATGCTCCATGTTGTAAACCATACCATTAACCGTGGTGTGAGAGGTATTAAGAGGCAATGCTGGCGAAAGAGCTGCGGTCTGAAGGACATCGTAAAATTACAATTAATTAAGAACAGAAATGATTTAACACATCTTTCCAGTGGTTACTAAGCCTGAATCCATCTTCTCGGTTGAAATTGTCTCTGTGCTTGTATATGTGAATGGCCTCATGAACGAATCTCTCATGGTAGCCGGTTGGTTTGCAAAGAACCTCCGTCTTGGAGAAGTCAATGTCATGTGAGCCCACTGAATTGTAACAGTGGTCTGCCACGGCAGAGGAGTTCGTCTTACCGTGTTTCAAGTCTGCTTTATGTTCGCGGATGCGGTCCGAGATATGTCTTTTGGTTTCTCCAATGTAGCTACTACCACAGAGGCACTTTAGTTTGTAAACGCCTGGGTACTGTATGTCTGGAAGAGCATCTTTTACAGATGGAACTAAATCACGGATTTTGTGTACTGTGTTGAATCGGACCTGGATCTTGTGTTTATTCAGGATTTTGGAGATCTTTTTGGTGACCCCTGCAATGTAGGGTAAGGTGATGGTTTTGAGTGGCTCCACAAGAGGATCCTTCTTCATGACTGGAGTGATGGCTTTGCGGATTGTGTAGTCGGAGTAGCCATTAGCCCTGAGAGCCTGGTGTACGTGCTTGAGTTCACTGGTAATGTGTTCCTGGTCGGAAATGCATTGGGCTCTATGGTATAGAGTCTTGATGAGGCAGTTCTTCTGGGATGGATGGTGGTGGGAATCCGGTTTCAAGTAAGCATCTGTATGGGTAGCTTTCCTGTAGACAGAGTGGCTCATTGAACCATCATGTCTCCTTTTAATTAAGACATCCAGAAAGGGTAGTTTGCCATCTTTTTCGACCTCCATGGTAAATCTGATGGCTGGGTGTATGGAATTGATGTGGTCGCGGAATTGGTCTAGAGCAGGCTGGCCATGTGGCCAGATGACAAAGGTGTCATCAACGTACCTCTTCCATAAGGTCGGGCGTAGAGTGGCAGTCTGGATGGCGTCAGTTTCAAATTTTTCCATGAATACGTTGGCTACAACCGGAGATAGGGGGGAGCCCATTGGGGTGCCCTCAGTTTGTTTGTAGAAAGTTCCATTCCAGGTGAAGTATGTGTTGGTTAAGCAATGTCTCACCAGGGGGGGTACATCAGTATGCAGTCCTTGATGAACCAGGTCTTCAATGATAGCGATGGTGTCAGGTACCGGGACTTTGGTGAACAAGGACACCACATCAAAACTGACAAGCAGGTCGTTTGGGGACAGGGAAATGTCTTTGATTGTCGATACCAGGTGAGTAGAATTTAGTACCGCAGAGGTGGTTTTTCCAGTGAAAGGTCGCAGTATATCAGCCAGAAAACGTGCCAGTTTGTAGGTGGGGGAGCTGATAGTAGAGACGATGGGACGAAGGGGTGTATCTTCTTTGTGTATCTTTGGAAGGCCATATAATCTTGGTGGTCTGGCAGCAGAGGGTTTCAACGAGAACTGTTTGATCTCATCAATTAATGCTGTTGAATCAGAGATAATTTTGTTCGTTTTGGTGACCAGGCTGTTGGTGGGATCTCTTTTTATTTTTGTATAGCTGCCATCGTTGAGTAGTTCTTGAATTTTGTTGTTATATTCTGTTTTGTCCATGATGACAGTGGCATTGCCTTTGTCGGCTGAGAGAACGACAATATCATCCCTCTTTTTTAATTGAGATAATTCAAAACGTTCGTCTTTGCTGATGTTGCTGGGTGGCAACTTAGCGTTTTTGAGGGTTGCAGCGATTTCAGATCTTGCTACGTCTGCAGAGATGTGACTCAAGCCCTTGAGTGCAACGTCAACATGGGCAATGATATCATTAACCGGTAAGTGTCTCGGTGTGACAGCAAAGTTTAGACCTTTAGCTAAAACGGATTTCAGACCATCAGAAATGGAACTGTTACTGCGATTAATTACGACTTTGTTGACGTCTATCTTTTCGGTGTGTGGATCCGATTTTTTGCTGGAGAGGTGATTGAATTTGGAAATCAAATTGTCCCTACATTTGTTCGACATAGTGGCAGCCGAAGAGGTAGTCATATTGTCTACATGTTCCCAATCCGATGTAGACATTGTTGCTGTCAATTTTAAGTGTGATTTGTAGAGTGTCTTGTCTAACTGATCGAGTTCGGTGCGTGTAAGTCTGATTTTTTCCGAGATAAGAGCGAAGCTAGTTCTAGCTAGAATTCGTTTTGCATTGAGAGAAGTTGCAACAGCAGAGGTTAGTGTAAATGCGGTTGGTATTACCTTAGAGTCGCGGCATCTCTTCAGAAAGGTGAGAGACTCGATTAGTTGAGCCTTCTTATCCCGAAGTCTGTTGAATGATCTTAAGGATGTGTGGAATCCCTCCCCGTAGAGGCGGTTAAATTTCGATTTAAAGCTTTCGTGACTGCAATGATTCATCTTCTTTGGTTCTTTCGGTAAAGTCACGTAGAATGAGAATAAAATAATAAATTGATAAAATAAAATAACACAATAATATTCTCACGACGTTTCGGCCACAACACAAGCGGCCTTCATCAGGTGAAGGGGGCGAGACTGTCTGGCACTCCAGCGCTGTCCTACCAGACAGTCTCGCCCCCTTCACCTGATGAAGGCCGCTTGTGTTGTGGCCGAAACGTCGTGAGAATATTATTGTGTTATTTTATTTTATCAATTTATTATTTTATTCTCATTCTACGTGACTTTACCGAAAGAACCAAAGAAGATGAATCATTGCAGTCACGAAAGCTTTAAATCGAAATTTAACCGCCTCTACGGGGAGGGATTCCACACATCCTTAAGATCATTCAACAGACTTCGGGATAAGAAGGCTCAACTAATCGAGTCTCTCACCTTTCTGAAGAGATGCCGCGACTCTAAGGTAATACCAACCGCATTTACACTAACCTCTGCTGTTGCAACTTCTCTCAATGCAAAACGAATTCTAGCTAGAACTAGCTTCGCTCTTATCTCGGAAAAAATCAGACTTACACGCACCGAACTCGATCAGTTAGACAAGACACTCTACAAATCACACTTAAAATTGACAGCAACAATGTCTACATCGGATTGGGAACATGTAGACAATATGACTACCTCTTCGGCTGCCACTATGTCGAACAAATGTAGGGACAATTTGATTTCCAAATTCAATCACCTCTCCAGCAAAAAATCGGATCCACACACCGAAAAGATAGACGTCAACAAAGTCGTAATTAATCGCAGTAACAGTTCCATTTCTGATGGTCTGAAATCCGTTTTAGCTAAAGGTCTAAACTTTGCTGTCACACCGAGACACTTACCGGTTAATGATATCATTGCCCATGTTGACGTTGCACTCAAGGGCTTGAGTCACATCTCTGCAGACGTAGCAAGATCTGAAATCGCTGCAACCCTCAAAAACGCTAAGTTGCCACCCAGCAACATCAGCAAAGACGAACGTTTTGAATTATCTCAATTAAAAAAGAGGGATGATATTGTCGTTCTCTCAGCCGACAAAGGCAATGCCACTGTCATCATGGACAAAACAGAATATAACAACAAAATTCAAGAACTACTCAACGATGGCAGCTATACAAAAATAAAAAGAGATCCCACCAACAGCCTGGTCACCAAAACGAACAAAATTATCTCTGATTCAACAGCATTAATTGATGAGATCAAACAGTTCTCGTTGAAACCCTCTGCTGCCAGACCACCAAGATTATATGGCCTTCCAAAGATACACAAAGAAGATACACCCCTTCGTCCCATTGTCTCTACTATCAGCTCCCCCACCTACAAACTGGCACGTTTTCTGGCTGATATACTGCGACCTTTCACTGGAAAAACCACCTCTGCGGTACTAAATTCTACTCACCTGGTATCGACAATCAAAGACATTTCCCTGTCCCCAAACGACCTGCTTGTCAGTTTTGATGTGGTGTCCTTGTTCACCAAAGTCCCGGTACCTGACACCATCGCTATCATTGAAGACCTGGTTCATCAAGGACTGCATACTGATGTACCCCCCCTGGTGAGACATTGCTTAACCAACACATACTTCACCTGGAATGGAACTTTCTACAAACAAACTGAGGGCACCCCAATGGGCTCCCCCCTATCTCCGGTTGTAGCCAACGTATTCATGGAAAAATTTGAAACTGACGCCATCCAGACTGCCACTCTACGCCCGACCTTATGGAAGAGGTACGTTGATGACACCTTTGTCATCTGGCCACATGGCCAGCCTGCTCTAGACCAATTCCGCGACCACATCAATTCCATACACCCAGCCATCAGATTTACCATGGAGGTCGAAAAAGATGGCAAACTACCCTTTCTGGATGTCTTAATTAAAAGGAGACATGATGGTTCAATGAGCCACTCTGTCTACAGGAAAGCTACCCATACAGATGCTTACTTGAAACCGGATTCCCACCACCATCCATCCCAGAAGAACTGCCTCATCAAGACTCTATACCATAGAGCCCAATGCATTTCCGACCAGGAACACATTACCAGTGAACTCAAGCACGTACACCAGGCTCTCAGGGCTAATGGCTACTCCGACTACACAATCCGCAAAGCCATCACTCCAGTCATGAAGAAGGATCCTCTTGTGGAGCCACTCAAAACCATCACCTTACCCTACATTGCAGGGGTCACCAAAAAGATCTCCAAAATCCTGAATAAACACAAGATCCAGGTCCGATTCAACACAGTACACAAAATCCGTGATTTAGTTCCATCTGTAAAAGATGCTCTTCCAGACATACAGTACCCAGGCGTTTACAAACTAAAGTGCCTCTGTGGTAGTAGCTACATTGGAGAAACCAAAAGACATATCTCGGACCGCATCCGCGAACATAAAGCAGACTTGAAACACGGTAAGACGAACTCCTCTGCCGTGGCAGACCACTGTTACAATTCAGTGGGCTCACATGACATTGACTTCTCCAAGACGGAGGTTCTTTGCAAACCAACCGGCTACCATGAGAGATTCGTTCATGAGGCCATTCACATATACAAGCACAGAGACAATTTCAACCGAGAAGATGGATTCAGGCTTAGTAACCACTGGAAAGATGTGTTAAATCATTTCTGTTCTTAATTAATTGTAATTTTACGATGTCCTTCAGACCGCAGCTCTTTCGCCAGCATTGCCTCTTAATACCTCTCACACCACGGTTAATGGTATGGTTTACAACATGGAGCATACTAGGGCCTCGCAGCTGTCTCTCTCCCCCTCCTCTGTTCCGACCATGGACGAACTCGTCCGTCTGAACGGGGCCCATAGCTATCCGTGGTACGGAAATTTGAGGGTAAGAATCCACCCATTTTTTCGCCATATAGCATTGTGATATATAACGACTTATGGTTGGTAGCTTAGCTGATTGGAGAATATAGAGTTTATTGATAACATGAAGGTAATTTATATTTTAGTTTTTATTGGTTCACTATATAGTACTGTGAATAGCTCAGATGTGTAGTCATTTCTGTGACCAGTCACTAGCAAATCACCCAGTTATTTCAATGCTAAATTCGCCTAGTTATTTCAATGCTAAATTCTCCTGTTTGATTTGTACTAAGTGCCTCGGTGAATGTGTATGCTCTGACTTCAACGTAGCTATTTCTGTAGCAGTTACAAGCGAATCACTCAGCCATTTCAATGCTAAATTCTATGCTAATCCCATTGTCAAGGGGTGCCTCTGCGGATGTGTATGCCTTAACTTAGCTATTTCAATGCTAAATTCTATGCTAATTCCTTTTAACAATGGGTGCCTCTGCGGATGTGTATGCTTTAACTTTTAACATAGCTATTTCTGTGACCAGTCACAAGCTAATCATTCAGCCATTTCAATGCTAAATTTTATGCTAATTCCTGTGTCAAGGCTCTTTGTTCCTCTCACACAGCTTAAAAGCCGTGATCTGAACGTGGCTCTCTCACTCCAGCGCTGTCCTACCAGACAGTCTCGCCCCCTTCACCTGATGAAGGCCGCTTGTGTTGTGGCCGAAACGTCGTGAGAATATTATTGTGTTATTTTATTTTATCAATTTATTATTTTATTCTCATTCTACGTGACTTTACCGAAAGAACCAAAGAAGAGGTATCAATATATTATATATTCGAAACATCATGATGGCTAAGGAATACTTTGAACATCAAACCTTCATAGGGATCTTCAACTATTGCAGGGATTTTCCAAAATCCGCCTTTCGTCAGCATGAAGGAAAAAGATACATGTGAGCCACAGGTCGAAAATTACAACCGTGGGTGCAGGAACACAATAGCTGGCAAGTGAGCCGAGTGACCGTGTCCCCGAGTGACCGTGTCCCCGTGTGGCCGTGTCCCCGTGCGGCCGTGTCCCTGTGTGGCCGTGTCCCCGTGCGGCCGTGTCCCCTTGCGGCCGTGTCCCCGTGTGGCCGTGTCCCCTTGCGGCCGTGTCCCCTTGCGGCCGTGTCCCCTTGCGGCCGTGTCTCCGAGTGGCCGTGTCTGCGTGTGGCCGTGTCTCCGAGTGGCCATGTCTCCTTGCGGCCGTGTCCCCGTGCGGCCGTGTCTCCTAGTGGCCGTGTCTCCGAGTGGCCGTGTCCCCTTGCGGCCGTGTCTCCGAGTGGCCGTGTCCCCTTGCGGCCGTGTCCCCTTGTGGCCGTGTCCCCTTGCGGCCGTGTCCCCGTGTGGCCGTGTCCCCGTGTCTCCGTGCGGCCGTGTCCCCTTGCGGCCATGTCCCCTTGTGGCCGTGTCCCCGTGCGGCCGTGTCTCCGAGTGGCCGTGCGTGCGCTCACCGTGGCGGTGGTCCCGTGCGGGCCCCACGTCCGACTGCGAGCGCTTGTGCTGCTTTCCCTTCCTCCACGGCTGCATCCCCTCCTGCTGCTGCTGCTGCTGCTGCTGCTGCCGCCGGGCCTCCGCAGCCGCCGCCGCGGCATCGCTGTTGACGGCGATGGGGAGCGAGGCCTGCGAGGGCAGCGAGGCCAGCGAGGACGACGTGGACGTTGAGGACGACGACGAGGAAGAGGAGGATGAGCAGGAACGGCCGCGGCTCGAGCCTCCGACGGCGAAGTACTCCGGCCCGTCGTCTGCGTCCCTGGGGGAGGACGCGGCGCTGAAGGGGGCAGAGCCCGCGGTGCGTGGATCCGCTGGCGTGGACGAACAGGGGGCAGCGGCGGTGGCGCCATCTCCGCCTCCAATGGGAGAGTGCGACATCTCCAGCCAGCTCATCTCCTGCTCCGCGCCGGTGCCGGCACACAGCGAGTTTCCCAGGGGGCGCGTCCCCACGTGCCGCTCGCCCGCTGGTGCTCCCTGAGCGTCGCCGCGCGGGTCCCCCTCGAGTTCCGCGCCTGCAAGACAAATGACCACGTGACCTATCCTCGCCCTGCGTGCGCTCCCACGAGCAGGTGTCGCCGGCTCCAAGCTGGCCCCGTCTCTACGATCAGCTAGAGGTCACTCCTCCGTCTCCCCAACCCCACCTCCTCCACCAGTTCGACGCGATGGAGACCAATCAACACACCGACACAGTGCTACACTTTTTAGCCTTTGGCTGCAGGGAATTTTTTCTTTTTTATTCCCGATTTGTTAACTTGTTCACGCAGGCAAACTCTGGACCAGTCTCAACCTTCAGCATCTGATTAAATGTGGATCCATCTCATTCCTTACAAGGCTAGCAGACATCGCCATCGGCATTTAACCCCTGAACATGTGCAGTATGTATGTACAGTAAAACCTTGGATTGCGAGCATAATTCGTTCCGGAAACGTGTTTGTAATCGAAAGCATTCGTATATCAAAGCACTCGTATATCAGTTGTGAGCACGTGACGCTCGGCAGACAGAGCATATACGTATTACTCGTATTGCAAGACCCTCGCTCGTTTATCAAATTAATATTTATTTAACATTTTTGCTCGTCTTGCAAAACACTCGCAGACCAAGTTACTCGCAATCCAAGGTTTTACTGTATGTAGAACTTCTTTCGCAGAGTACGTAGCCAACCGTGCTAATCGGAGGTAGGAACCGATTGAAGCTCGTGCGTGACGTGAAGGGTGCGAGGATTCAAATTCGAAATTTATTTCGAATTTAAGTATGAAATGCTTTAATAAAAGAGTTAAAGCAGATCGTGCAGTGCATCCTTCCAGTGTCTGTCACTGCTATTCTTCAATGAACGAATCCCCAGTTACTTAGGGGCCTCTGGTGTCTCAAATTGTTTAACAGCAAACATCCCTTATTTTCAAGTGACATATACAAGTACCCAGTGGTGGAAATGAGCCGGTATACGACAGCGACACCATACCGGCACTTCTCAGAACAACAAACTTGCACTCGTATCACACCGGCACGTTCTGGGACTGTTCCTATTCCGAAACTGCGACGTCTCCGCAGAGGGGAAACAGAAGCGAACGTGAGCCTCGGGACAAATAGTTTCCATTCCGGCGATTCTCATTTTCCATTTCCATCACTGCATGCATCCCAAATGTGAATATAAAAACATTGTAGATGAATGATGCTTTCAACTTTTTATTAAAAAGAATGAACCTGCTTCTGGCGCGGCACTAGACAAAGGAACTTGCACCGTGAGCAGGAATCAAACTCGGATCACCGGATTTATAGCGCAATGCGCTTACCACAAGCCTACCACTCCCACCCCAAAACAAGGTCCCCCGTAGAGCCCTAAGGTCGGCACGGTACACGAGAGGGTGGGTGGCCAGCATCACGCCCGGCGACCTTTGTCTCCCTAGTGGTGATGTTTACACACCACACCAGGTACTCATTTGAGGCCGAGTCGACTTACAGGAGGCCCAGGACCGGTTAAGATAATGGTCACTGGTGTTGGTCGTGAACGGGAATCGAACTTGGGTCGCCGGGTTCATAGCGCAGCGTGCTAACCGCTGCACCACCACGCCCCTCCTCATACACCCACACACTCATGTTAGCTGCGTTCAGGAAGAGACCACGATGAGTCTGATTTGCAGAGTGACCTGGGGATATTCATCTACCACTAGTGGGTGATGACGTGCGTAATCCCAACAGAGTGATCTGAAGCTGCTGCTAGAAGCCAGCCGTGAAGCTCACCACCGGCTGAAGGAGGTGCGACGGTCAGGCTGGCGGCGGTCGTGCCGGTGGTGGTGCTGGTGGTGCCGGTGGTGGCGGCAATGCCGTGCACCACATGAGTTAGGGTGTGGCGGCGCGGGCGCGCGTCACCCGGGCCGGCCCCACGCCCCGCACCCGGAGACACCGCGAGGCTCCGGCTCCTCCGCCTGGCGGCCACAGGAGTTCCGCCAACAGCCAATGGTATGGCTCTGCCCGAGAGGGCGGCACCGGAGTGGCGGCTCCCTTTCGCCACCAGACCCACGCTCCCCTTGCACAGCTGATCAGATTTAGAATCAGAATATTTATTGATGGGAATCCGATGAGCTGTAACGTTACAACAACAAATAATACAAAAACACAATAGGACTGCAAAGTATAGGAAAGGTAGTAAAAAAAAATCACTTAAAAATATACAAATAAAACTAAAATATTTAGTTTTTGGGTTAGATCACGTAAACATATAAATGTGTTGTTAAAACCCGCCACCACCCGACACAGCCAACTAGAAAGGGTTGTCAGGTAAACAGAACGTGGCCAATTCGTCACTAGTACAGCACGCCGGTGTGTTGGAGAGCCAAGCCACAACATTTACAAACTGAGTACGACGTTTCGCCAGTAATTACAACTAGCTTCATCAGGCGACAGACAGATTTGTGGAGAAGTGTAACTGTTTCGTTCCTTACATAGAGGCGTAGATGTGTTGACAACGCTTCTGCGCTCTTGTGCAAAGTGGGGGGAAATTACCGAGTCAACGTACATTATGCATGTGCATTATGAAAGCCATGAGTGCTGCGTGGAAGCGAATCATCAAATAGTACATTATTTAAATGCATGCCTATAAAAAGCAGCATACTTCAATAGGGATTACCGTTGGTACGGCAGTTTTAATACACACAATAGACAGGAAGGACAAGATTAAAGGGCTCGCATAATGCACATGCATAATGTACTTGACTCGGCAATCCCCCTCACCCCCACAACTTTGCACAAGAGCGCAGAAGCGTGGTCACCAACATCTACGCCTCTATATAAGGAACGAAACAGACTTCTCCACAAATCTGGCTGTCGCCTGATGAAGCTAGTTGTAATTACTGGCGAAACGTCGTACTCAGTTTGTAAATGTTGTGACTTGGCTCTCCAACACACCGGTGTGCTGTACTAGTGACGAATTGGCCACGTTCTGTTTACGTGACAACCCTTACTAGTTGGCTGTGTCGGGTGGTGGCGGGTTTTAACGACACAATTATATATTTACGCGATCTAACCCAAAATAAACTCTATTATGGATATTGGTCGCGAAAGCCTACGTAGTAAGATAAACTATTTAGTTTTGTTGCGCGGTTGATTTAGTTTATGTCACTAAGGTAAGGCCCACTGAGGCAGTAACTTCTTTTTTTCAGAAGCGACCTGGCCACAGCTGAGGCATGGAGGGCATGCCATCACGTGACTGATGACCAACCCTCGTGTTCCTCTGTATGGAAGAGATTGGCCATTTTTGTCGGGCCGGAACTTATAGCTAGAAATGTTCCGCGTAGATATTTTTTTCAGAAAAATACCGAAAACTCGGCTGCGTGTCTCTCACCAGCGCGGTGCTGATTTCAGTGAGCAGGTCCATGCTGTTTTGTTCCAGCGCGTCCAGGCAATGCAGCATGGCGGTGACGTGCACGTCGCTCAGCACAAACGCCGACTCTGCGGACAGATGACTCAATCGGCACCGCTGCACAGCGCTAATGCAAGACACCTCACCACGCAACACACCTCACCATGCTTCATCACGCAACACACCTTACCACGCAACACACCTCACCATGCAACTCACCTCCACGTGTGCCTCACCACATAACACTTACACAACACAGCGCACCACACAATAAACCCGGCCGCTCAATACACCTCACCACACAACACCTACACAGCACACGATGAATCACTGAATAGAGGGCGGGGAGCTGGGAGAATTGTTACATAGCACGGACTCTGTGCTTGGGGAATCCTTCATACAGCAGTGGACTTATCATGGCTGACAATGAAGAGGATGATGATGATGATGATCCAATTGCATGGCATTTAAATAGCCATCAAAGACAGCCACTGCTTCGCATGCTTTCAGATGCGCTTCTGCAGCCATCTGGAACACTCTTCCGTCCGATATTAGGAAACCACTGGAGCTATGCACTTTCAAGGTATCTCTCTTGAAGACTCCTTTCTTCAGAACTGCTTTTTGTGTTAAATTTGCTGTCGTTCCCCCGCACCTCCGATTAGCACGGTTGAGTACACACAATGGCTAAGAGCTCTCAGTATTGCCGACACAAGACACTGACCGGAGTAAAAGGCAAGGACGTGGGCCCTGTTTGCGAGCAGTGGCCGTAGTTGCGACGCGAGGCCTAGCCTCTCCAGGCTCTCCCTCAGCCAGCGAGCACCGGGGGAGGAGCTCCCACTCCCGGACGTCACCGTGCCAGGAGGCGCCGCCACTTCCTCCAGCGCCCCGCCCTGCTCACGCCAGGCATGCAAGGTCGCATTCAGCGTGCCTCTCTGCTCGTTTATATGAAGAAAAAAAATATCACGTGAACTGGTAACGCGGTGCCATGCAGTACCCACTCGCCCACTGCATCTACGTCACATTCGAGTGTCGCTTTGCCGGACAGCGTCTTGCCACGCTGACGAAGGTTGCACATTTTTTACACGCCGGGCGCTCTCACTGACTGCGTGTTTTAACCAGACCGTTAGACATGCACCGACTCACCCTTCTGTGAGACGATCGTCACGATTCATGGTCACAACTTGACTAAAGAATCAGTTCATCTTGTATCTTTTTTTCTCATTCCATTTCTATTGTATGGCATTTGTTTCATCTGGTTTGTGTCGTCTCATTCACTAAATTAGCCTACACATATTCAGTAGTATTTACATAATTTGCATAAACTGAAGGTAACTGATTGTTGAATACGCGATTTGATTGTAGAATTGTGAGCGTATGTATTGTCCTGGGCAATACCAGCATTATGGGATAAGATATAAAACATTTTAAATGTTCGTTTAATTATTTCTCTACTTCTTAGTGTTTTTTTTGTTTATGTTTATTACGTGGTCTTAAATATGTGTCATTGTTTGCTGTAATAGCAATAAGTCAGGAAAGCTCTCGGTTTGTGTTCTCCTGGATGAAAAGTAGTGAGGCTATGTCCTTGCCCAATCTTGACCAGCCTGGCTCAAAACCTCAATTAAAAAAATTACCGACTAAATCAACGGATCAATAAATCACTACATAGTCATACTTTAACTTCAACAGGTAATGGGTGAAGAGTGGTAGCTATGTTAATACGTAATGGATTAGCAGAAAATGTTCTGCTGATGACCTCAAATTTGAGTGAAAACAGTAGTCTGCACCTTAAAGAGTCAATCTCAGCTGTTAAAAGTGTTTTACAATTCAGCCGGGTTGGCTCCACGCACGACTCACATCAGAACGAACTCAACCGGTCCCTTTCTGGCTCAGTGTACCTTTTGCGTATGATGCGAAATATTATAATCTTTATTTATCCTGGAGGAATCCTATGAGTTACGAAGCTCTTTTTCACCAATGTCCAGGAGGGACATGTCAGCGAGTTACAAGTATGTCTTGCTCAGATGCGCTGTCATGCAGGATTATGGGTAACACAGGAATCCCCTACTATATGTAGAGGATGTGTTCCTGGGAAATGCTACTTCACTCGAAATTACTTCAAGCAAACTCTCATTTCTTATATAATTTTTTTTTAAATCAACGGTTGCATGCAGCACGCCCTACCGCATGTGCTTGTGGGAGCCTCGGAACCGACAAAGTTATTTAATTTTAGCTTTTATTCCGATTCCGTGATGAAGGAGGTGTACGTACGTGTACGCCATCGGAACGGAATTGGAAGAAAACTGGGTGACGTACACATACGTCATTGGAATAGGAGAAAGTTAATTGGCCAACAACACCATATATATAGAGGACTGCAGAGCTTGAGGGGAGGGTGGGGGGGAATTGGCACTGGCTCACCGCTTGTCCGCTTTTCCCACGTATCTGTTAATCCTCCTCGCGCCTCTGCGTTGTCCCCTCTCTCTCTCTCTCTCTCTTGGGAGAGCGAGAGTGAATACTGTGCGGCGACGCATCGCAAGTTAACTTTATTACAATGCAGAGGATGCCAGAAAGGTTTCACTCACAATTGCAGAGTCCTGGACGATGCAGGGACACACTTGGGGTGCCACGCTTTGCAGGCTCAGGATGAATGGCCAGTACTGCACATCGGATGAGGGCCGACACTGAAGAGCACAAACGACACAAGCGCAAAACCGGCCTCTGTTACACCTTCAGCTGCTTTAAGTCTCCCCCCGAAAGAGAGGTATTTTCATAAATCAGTCACATCAGTATGCATTCTGTTCATCTGTTTTGTTCAAATTAGTGACATCCATTTCGCCTTAGATTCGATTCTTGTGCATTGCAATGTTCAGAAGCTAAATGCCAACGTCGAGTTTTGCCAGCCACGACGAGAGGGCTTCAGGAGAGAGGGTTCGTATCGTTTTGCTATTTCTCCTCCATTGAAGGACCGCAGGTTACAGTGATTTACTATAAGTTAAACAGTTTGGGTTGCATGGCCAGTCATACTACTGTGGCCTGTCTTTAATTTTTCATTCATAAAGGAGATGTGCGCATTAGTCTGTTGGTGCCTTTTATGGTAAATAGTTCTACCAATGTCTTCGAGGAATGTCAGAGGCAGAAGACGCGATGCTTGTTGTCTCAAATGAGGTGTTTATTTTGGACGTCCGCTTTGTTCCACTCTGATAAGTTGTGTTTAAGGAGACACAAAAACGTGTAACAGGGGAGCCACCACGAGAAAAATGCCATCTTCCATCCATATAAATCACTGGAGTCTGCACTGCCTCAAAGGAAGAATTGCCAAACAACACAAACTTTTTTTCCTGAAGGCTTCCCATGGCTAGAAGACTTTGACAATGGCATTCAGGTTCTTGGACGTATTGCCATTTACAAGAATAGAATCTGTTTTTTTAGTTTTTGACATAAATATTAATATACTCTATACAAAATATTATCATATGCCACTATATGTCAACAAATGAACAGGTGCTCGGCAGGTAATTTCACTCGATATGTTTTGTTAAAAGGTGCTGCTCAGCTATGGCACATGTTCACTAAAACCACGTGTAGGGTAGAAACAAAGCAAGTGCATCTCAGTGACTCTCTCCACCCCTCTCCACGTCTCTCCACCTTGAGCCCAGGACTCAGCCCTCGGCAGGTGTCCCCACCTTGGCGGCATGCAGGCCGTGCACGAGGATGGCGTGCATGGCTGCCGTGAGGTGCTCCAGCCCGCCGTAGCACGTCCACACGCCGGCATGGCCTACGCCCACCAGCACCTCCACCGTCGACTTCAACCGGCTCAGCAGCTGCCAGCGCTCCTGGCTGAATCCGGCGAGCACACACGTGCATATGTTCATACACACGCACACGCGCCACGGTTTACGCGCGCGCAGGGAGCATGCTGTGTTGCGCTTAGCACACAACTCGTGCATTGCTCTGTGCTGCATTAATTGTGACAACGCAGTCTCGATCATAGGCACATGAACAAAAGGAAGGTCTCGAGCCTAGAATTGAAGAGAGCAGGGAGTCAAACAAGCACGAACGGCTGATGCAATGAACGCGTCATGACATGAGAGCCTGTTTAGATGTCTGGAGAACCTGACATTTTTACAACAAAAATTATGCGAGAATTACCGAGAACGGGAGTTTTTTTTCTTCTAACGAAATGAAAGAAAATATCTCTACTTGTTATTTTGGTTGCTGACCCATGTACATTACAAACTGTACTCTTTCACGGGCAGTGGTTTGTACGCAGGTGGGAACGTGTTATCTGCTGAACCCCCAAAAAGGTAACAAAAAACATGCAAAAATGCATACAAAAAGCACTCGGTGTTTGTCTGTTATCAGCAGTGCCTGAAGAATTGCACTGTGGTCGCCTTGTCTTGAGTCACCATCAAAATAAATCTGAGTAAACACTTCCCGACTGAAAGTCTGCAGACCGATTTCATTCATTTTATAACTAACTAGCTTTACTACCCGGCTTCGCCCGGGACTTGGATTCATCACGCCCGGCCGCCTTTGTCTCCCCAGTGGCGATGTTCACACACCACACCAGTTACTCGTTTGAGGCCGAGTCGATCTAGGGGAGGCCCAGGACCGGTTCAAATAATCGTCACCGGTGGTGGCCGTGAGTGGGAATCGAACTCGGGTCGCCGGGTTCGTAGCGCGGCGCGCTAACCACTACACTACAATGCGTTACGCTTCCACATGCGCGGGTCACGTGACAGATTTGACGTCACAGCTCACTTGCCGTGCAAAAATATATACATTGTTGGGCTCCCCCCCTCCCCCCCCCCCCCCAAAAAAGTGTATTTTTATAATTATTGCATGGTGTAAATTCTGGAAAGTACCCACATGGCAAATGTCAAGTTTGTTGCATGTCGGGAAGTACGCTAAACATTTTGAACAGACACATTCACAACTTTGCCTTTTATATATATGGAGATCAGTACGAAACAGTATATAGTGACCCGTGCTCACTGCTGCAAAGGTCTGTCTGTGGGAATCCCCTAATATGCAATCCCCACTCCTACACTCAGGGGCGTGGCTAATGCCAACAAAATCAGTTGTTTGATATTCTTAGTCATTTCCAGATTGCATGTAGCTTCGTCTGATTAAATTACCCTTCCCATTTGGTTATGAATCGTGGGACTATAAATAATGGTGACATTAAAAGCAGAGAAGTGTTTAAATTTCACGTCTAAGATGTGTTATACCACTGTTTACAAGTGCTGGGACGTAGATATACATGGTTTGTTTTTACATACCTATGATGTTCAAAAGTACAAGGCTCAAAGACCATACAACAGATAAAAACACCCATATAGAATTTATGGCCAGTTCCGTACTCATGCCCCAGACTCGGTGACATCAGGTTAAACGTTGTCCTAGATTCTAGTTACGCTCCACCCACGTACGTACATGTATCAAATCTTTCGCTCGCAGTAATTATTTTAAGTTGGTGAAAATTGTTGGGCTAACGTTGCACTTGGGATGAAGGAAGAGTCAAATGTGGCCACACGAGATGGAACGAAACAGTATAATGAAGACAAACAGCACCACTCATTTCATGAAACCAAGACACCAAATCAAAATTCCCTGAATCACCGAGGAAGTGAAATACTGTACTACACGCCACTAAAAACCCCTTCAGATGTACAGATTTAAGCGTCGTTCTGTATAACTTTTAGATTTAAAATGTGCGCGAGTGTCTGTTACTCCGTGGCGATGCCAAGCACTCAACATCCCAGAGTCACAGCTGCTCATTGAGCCACTCTGTAGTTTATATGGGATCCTATATTCCGGAGTCACTGTAGTTTATATGGGATCCTATATTCCGGAGTCACTGTAGTTTATATGGGATCCTACATTCCGGAGTCACTGTAGTTTATATGGGATCCTATATTCCGGAGTAACTCTGTAGTTTATATGGGATCCTATATTCCGGAGTCACTCTGTAGTTTATATGGGATCCTATATTCCGGAGTCACTGTAGTTTATATGGGATCCTATATTCCGGAGTCACTCTGCAGTTTATATGGGATCCTATATTCCGGAGTTACTCTGTAGTTTATATGGGATCCTATATTCCGGAGTCCCTCTGTAGTTTATATGGGATCCTATATTCCGGAGTCACTGTAGTTTATATGGGATCCTATATTCCGGAGTCACTGTAGTTTATATGGGATCCTATATTCCGGAGTCACTCTGTAGTTTATATGGGATCCTATATTCCGGAGTTACTCTGTAGTTTATATGGGATCCTATATTCCGGAGTCACTGTAGTTTATATGGGATCCTATATTCCGGAGTCACTCTGTAGTTTATATGGGATCCTATATTCCGGAGTCACTGTAGTTTATATGGGATCCTATATTCCGGAGTCACTCTGTAGTTTATATGGGATCCTATATTCCGGAGTCACTCTGTAGTTTATATGGGATCCTATATTCCGGAGTCACTGTAGTTTATATGGGATCCTATATTCCGGAGTAACTCTGTAGTTTATATGGGATCCTATATTCCGGAGTCACTCTGTAGTTTATATGGGATCCTATATTCCGGAGTAACTCTGTAGTTTATATGGGATCCTATATTCTGGAGTAACTCTGTAGTTTATATGGGATCCTACATTCTGGAGTTACTCTGTAGTTTATATGGGATCCTATATTCCGGAGTTACTCTGTAGTTTATATGGGATCCTACATTCTGGAGTTACTCTGTAGTTTATATGGGATCCTATATTCCGGAGTTACTCTGTAGTTTATATGGGATCCTATATTCCGGAGTAACTCTGTAGTTTATATGGGATCCTATATATCGGGAGTCACCGAGGCTCGTAGAGCCACACTGTGGGTTGCCAAAGTTCCCCATCACTTCTCGTTGCAGCTCACGCTTCTCGTTACGTTTCGCTCTGTTTCAATGTTCGGGAACCCGGGGTCAAGGCCAGACCGAAGCCTCGGCCTCGCCTAAACACCGGGCCCGGGCACGCGATCGCCGCACCGGGCTGCGAGCACGACGCATACCGCCTCCCTCTCCTCACCTCGCAAAGTCATCTTCCTTCTTGCCCTCTCTCTGCTTCTCCGCCTCCACCTCGCCGCCCCACGCGCTCGTGTCGCGGCTCAGCGGCATTGTGTCTAAGCGGCGGGGAGCCAGGTTTGTCGAGGCGACGCTGGCTCGGCGCGCGGTTGCCAGATTACGGGGGTTTCCCTTCGCGGCCCAAGCGGCGTCTCCACGACCCCGGGGAAGCGAGCCGTGCCGTGCCGAGCCGTATCGAGCCGCGTCGCGTGGAGCCGGTTGTGAGCTCACCAGAGATCAACCGCGCGTAATAAGTGTGCACTCCGCAGCGTGTGCGAACCTAGGAGACCATCTCGTATCGCTGCGGGTGGCCAGGTGAGTGTTTTTTTTATTCTAAGAGAAGGCAACGGTGGTTCAGCGATTGGACCGCGAAGCCACCACGTGCTCAGCGAGGTAACGGGGGACACGCCCCCCGATTGAGGTCTGGGCTGGTGAGCTGCTTCGCTAAATTAACTCCAATCTATGTAACAAAACTCGCTTTTTGGTGCCGTCCGAGTACGGGTGTATGTTGCAGTAAATGTGAAATATTAAGTAGGAAAATTGTTCAGCTCATGATTATTGAGGGAGGGGGGGTTGCCCCCGGTGGAGTGACGTCACCCCCTCATGGTTATTGGGGAGGGGTGCGGCATGTGGAGTGACGTCACCGCCTCATGGTTATTGTGGAGGGGTGCTGCATGTGGAGTGACGTCACCCCCTCATGGTTATTGTGGAGGGGTGCGGCATGTGGAGTGACGTCACCCCCTCATGGTTATTGTGGAGGGGTGCGGCATGTGGAGTGACGTCACCCCCTCATGGTTATTGTGGAGAGGTGCAGCATGTGGAGTGACGTCACCCACTCATGATTATTAATGAGGGGAGGGTTGCAGCATGTGGAGTGAGCGACCTTCTTGTGCGTTAGTGTGAATTTACACGCGGGCATGAATGTTAATGAAGGGGGGGGGGGGAGCTCTTTTGCAGTGACGTCACGCACGGATGTAGCACTGTGCTGCGTAGATTCATTTTATACCGTCACTTTCTGTAAAGAAACGTCATATTTGAGGCGACTTTGCGAAATAAATTATTTAATTAAGCTCGACCTTCCTTTGCGTTAGTGTAAAATCCATCCACTCATGAATATTAATGAAGGGGAGTGGGCCTCATGTGGAGTGACGTCAGGCGGGGGGGTGGGCCTCATGTGGAGTGACGTCAGGCGGGGGGGTGGGCCTCATGTGGAGTGACGTCACGCGCGGGACGGACAGACATTTCTGGATGATTAAAGTAGGTAAAACAGACTTGAATCTGTATGTACGTCTCCAAAACCTCGATGCTGCTTTCCGACAAGGTAGAAAGCTGAAATTTGGACACAAACAGGAAATATCTGAAAATCCAAATCTCGATTTTAAGTGCCCCATAAAAATATTTGTGCGTCATTCAGAAACCTTTCAAAAAAATAAGATTACGGGTTGTTTTCGTTTGATAGAGCATTAAACAGCAAATACAAATAATGTGAGAACCATTGTTCTATCTTAAATTTTTTATATATATTTCGGATTAAGGGGCCGTCCATAAATGACGTCACGCACCTAGGGGTGGGGGGGGTCAGACATTTGTGACGATGTGGGACGAGGGGGGTGGGTTTGAGAAATGTGACGTCACATCAAAATGCGCAACTTTAAATAAATATAGACAACACGTTCTACTTAATTAAATATACTTTTTAATAAATGTTTTCTCCTACAACATCAGAGTGCAGCGCCACATTAAATACGCACTACAATGACAATAGTTTAAAGCGATTTGAAGCATGTTTTATTTTTGGGGCAGAGCTTTGTGACGTCATATTTGAGGGGGGGTCTGACTTTTTGTGACGCCCCCCCCCCTAGGTGCGTGACGTCATTTATGGACGGCCCCTAAAGCGGATTTGAACGAAAAATTCACAGATTAAGTTCAAATCTGAATAATTCGAAGACGGTAAAAGATAGAAGCTTCCCCTCATAGAGTATTAAGATCATAAATGTTTGTCCTTTCTAATAAAAAAAGAACATAATCATTAAATTAAGCAGTTTCTGATGGATACGTCTTTAAATATAAGAAGTTTAATAAAGTCGTCAACAGTTTATTTTCTTCTGGAAAATTACACATTATTGGAGCAGTTGTTCGTGTCTGATCGTAGATACAAATCTTAAAAAATCATATCAGGTTAATTATATTTATCAAAAACTTTTGCCTGGCTAAGACAGTAGTAATATACAACTGTAAAATTTATATTACTTGAATGTGAATATATTGACAGGAACTCTGTCATGTTAATTGCCTGTTAATTGACTTGTTGATGGTTGTAATGAAGGTATGCACAATTAAGACATTGATGTTAAAGTTGATTTCAATATATAAAATACTCATAATAATTGGATCTAGAACAGGGGTCGGGAACCTATGGCTCGCGAGCCAGATGTGGCTCTTTTGATGATTGCATATGGCTCGCAGATAAAACAAAATATTCTCACTTGTTTTAATCCATCCATCGATTTTTCACTGCGCATGTCCTGTTCAGGGCTGCAGGAGCAATTGTCCATTATTTTAATTGGATGATACTGGCCTACGTTTGCCGTTGCTGGGTAAAACAGGTAAACGCCCCCTTTTGAATCAGTCTGAGACTGCGTCTGCTCGGTCATTAGCTCAAAGCTAACCCTTCGACGAAGAAGATGGCGAAAAGAAAAAAGACGACGAGTATCGTACATTTCAGGACGAATGGACCGAAGAATTCGCCTTTGTGGAGAGAGCAGGTTCTGCGGTGTGTCTAATTTGCAATGACAAAATTACATCGTTGAAACGGTCGAATGTAAAGCGGCACTTCGACACGCGCCACGCTACCTTTGCATCAAAATACCCTGCGGGAGACAGCAGAAAGAAAGCGTGCCAAGAGCTTCTGAGCAGGGTGCAAGCTAGCCAGCAGCAACTCCGCGTATGGACCCGGCAAGGTGACTATAATTCGGCTAGCTTTGCTGGTTCTTTAGCAATAGTGAGGAACGGAAAACCATTCACAGATGGCGAGTATGCTAAAACGTTCATGCTGGATGTAGCCAATGAACTTTTGATGATCTTCCAAACAAAGACAAGATAATCAAACGGATACAAGACATGCCTCTGTCGGCAAGAACTGTTCATGATCGTACCATCGTGATGGCAAACAAAGTGGAGGAAACGCAAGTGAAGGACATAAATGCAGCGCCGTTCTTTTCTCTGGCTTTGGATGAGTCAACAGACGTGAGCCATTTGTCGCAGTTCAGCGTGATTGCAAGATATGCTGTTGGTGACACACTGCGCGAAGAAAGTCTTGCTGTTCTGCCATTAAAAGGGTCCACAAGAGGTGAGGATTTATTCAAGTCTTTCATGGAGTTTGCTCAAGAAAAAAGTCTACCTATGGATAAACTTCTCTCAGTGTGTACTGATGGTGCTCCGTGTATGGTGGGGAAAAACAAAGGATTTGTGGCGCTTCTCCGTGAACATGAAAATAGACCCATCCTAAGTTTCCATTGCATTATACACCAGGAGGCACTTTGTGCTCAGATGTGTGACAGGCAGTTTGGCGAAGTGATGTCGCTGGTCATTCGTGTGATCAACTTTATTGTTGCCCGAGCCTTAAATGATCGCCAGTTTAAAACACTGCTGGATGAAGTTGTAAATAACTATCCTGGTCTGCTTTTGCACAGCAATGTGCGTTGGTTGTCAAGAGGGAAGGTGCTTAGCCGTTTTGCGGCTTGCCTGAACGAAATCCGGACTTTCCTTGAAATGAAAGGCGTCGGGCATCCTGAGCTAGCCGACACCGAGTGGCTCCTCAAGTTTTACTATCTCGTAGATCTGACTGAACATCTGAACCAGCTCAACGTGAAAATGCAAGGCATTGGAAATACAGTGTTATCCCTTCAACAAGCTGTATTTGCTTTTGAAAACAAGCTGGAGCTTTTCATCACGGATCTTGAAACAGGTCGTTTACTACATTTTGAAAAACTGAGCCAATTTAAAGATGCATGCACAGCAAGTGAGCCCATTCAAAACCTTGATCTCCACCAGCTAGCTGGCTGCACATCCAGTCTCCTACAGTCCTTCAAAGCATGCTTTGGAGAATTTCGTGAGCACACTCGTCTTTTTAAGTTCATCACCCATCCAAACGAGTGTTCACTGAACACAGCCGACCTGAATTACATCCCTGGTGTCTCCGTCAGAGATTTTGAAGCAGAAGTGGCTGACCTGAAGGCCTCAGACATGTGGGTGAATAAGTTCAAGTCACTGAATGAAGATTTGGAAAGAATCACACGACAGAAAGTGGAGTTGGCGAGCAAGCACATGTGGACAGAAATGAAAAAACTCCAACCCGAAGACCAGCTGATTCTCAAAACTTGGAACGCGCTTCCTGTCACATACCACACACTGCAGCGTGTGAGTATTGCTGTATTGACCATGTTTGGATCTACGTATGCATGTGAGCAGTCATTCTCACATCTTAAAAACATCAAGTCCAACCTACGATCACGTTTAACGGATGAAAGCCTCAACGCTTGCATGAAGCTTAACCTCACCAAGTACCAACCCGACTACAAAGACATCAGCAAATCCATGCAGCACCAGAAGTCGCATTAATGGTGAGTGTTATAACAACATTATTTAAAACAATAAATTCAGAGGCTTATTATACTGACATTTAGTTGAATTCACTTTTAAAATATATTATATGGCTCTCACTGAAATAAATTTCCAAATTTTTTGCTTTCATGGCTCTTAGTCAAAAAGGTTCCCGACCCCTGGTCTAGAATATTAACACTGGCGCTCAATCCCATTAACAGAGACATTGAGATGCGGTGAACGTGACGTGGGAGGGTGTTTATGATCGCTATTGCAGACACGCAGTCGCCGTTTCACAAACTCCTGGTGCACAACGCGTAGTAACCGACTCATCATCTCGGCTCTTTATTAAATTTATTGCTGTTTATTTAGCCGACCTGTTCCCCGCGTTGGGATTCGCGGGAGGAGAAGAGGCACAGGGCGGAACGGCTACACGTGCCTAGTCCTGCCGAGCCGTGTCAGCACGGCACGGGTCCTTGCCTATCACGGTTCGGATTGATGCACGGAATGATAGTGAAGTAATGAATAGTCCAGGCGCGGTTCGTCCACTAGGGGGCGGTGGCGCGCCGCTCCACCAAGCAGATGGAGATGATAAAACATTTTTCTAATGAAACATACATTTCTGTAAATTATTTTGTTGCGTTTATTAAAAACAATTAAAAATGTGATGATTCTTTCAACGTGAATTTCCTAATGAACGTAACATTTTAAGTTGTTCACATTCGTAACCGCTGCAACGCCACAGCCAAATGTTTGCCTCGGGGAGGTCTCGGGCCGGACTTCCCCGCCCCTCCCCCAGGGGTGGGGAACGTCCGGCCCGCGGGCCGTATAGGGCCCGCGAAATCATTTGTTGTGGCCCTGCCAAGGCAACCGCAGACGGGACTCGAAATT